ACTTTTTCACACCACTGTATTTCTCACTTGTGGAAAAGACAGCATGAATACACACATAAACAGTAGTAGTGCACACATGCACACAGCGCCTTGTCCATTTCCATTGCACAGACGTATGTGTGTCTGTGGATGTTTTCGTATGTCAACATGCACAATATGTTTTTTCACAGTCCTTGAGGTTCTTCTTGGATCAATCACAAATCCCCAAATCAAGCTCACAGATGGTAAATTTGTCTCAAGAGCCACACTCTCAGCCTGATATTGTATTCCACAGCAGCTCTCACTGAACTGAATGATACAAGGCATATCATTCACTCTGTGGGGCAATCAAAAGCCCGGTTTTTATCTGTAATTGTAACACCACACTTGAGTCAATCTTGTAATTCCTAAAATGGAACAGTGGTTACCCAAGTTTTGTCACAATACAGTAATGGGTATATGCAATACTGTGAGTGATGGATGGCTGAAAAGAATAACAGATTTAGCACTGAAATCGGACCAGTCTGTTGTATGCACTTTCAACAGCGTGCACACACATAAGAATCTGTAAAATAAATGTTTTGTAATGTGTTGCATTCATACCAAGAGCTTAGTCTCATCAACACAGGTGTGTGTATATGTGTGTGCTAAAAGTAACAGGACAAGAAACATCTTTCACAAACTGTTCACAGTTCAGTCTTTTGTTACCTGGAATGTATGCCCAACTAATACTGGAGTATTGTATAACTGGGACTGATGACTAATATATCAGCAGAAACAGTAATATTCTTTTTACATAAACAAATGACCTAAAAAAAACAATCTTGATATGTGTCCCTTAGGTTTACTTTTTAAAGAATTATGACCAATATATATACTTACAGCAGTACTTTTAATAGTTGAAAAATCAACTTCTTATGGCTTTGTGGTGGACAAACCAGTGTATGTAAAGGAGACACTGTTTCTGAATGATCTTAAACCTGATTTGGCACATCTGTACTGCATATTCTTGTTACTTATTGGTTGACATATACACCAATATTGATATATCTGCAAAGAGCTCAAATTGGCCAATATACTGTCCTGCTTGATTTATCGGTCTAGCTCTAATCTGATGTTGCTTTTTAAATTGATGACGCATGACCCGTTTGAAGCCTCTTGGGCTTTGAGCAGTATTTTGCAAGAACGTGAGTTGAGTTAGAAAGTCTGTTCGATTGCGCCCTTTGAGCTTAAAAATTATTTACAATAAAAGTCTACTTGTGAACTGGATTAAAAAAACATTTGAAAATCTGAGACAAACGGTTACCATTTTTGTGTATACACTGTACAACATTTGTCAAAGACAAAGCCCTGGGAGTTGGAGCATGCAGTCTGTCGAACAATGCATGCATACCAGTGCAAATAATCAGAAGCAAAAATATAATTTAAAACACACACACACACACACACACACACACACACAATAAAAAACATTATATACAGTACCATGTCCACTGTGGAAGCGAGTCCTCCTCTTCTCCTCTGACTTCATCCTGGCTTTAATGTACCCCTGACACCTGTATAGGTGAAGCAGTTTGCCAAAGAGTAAGAATAACTTTCATCACACTCCTGTTCATGTCAGCCTTTTCCCTAACTGTCTGCTAATAACCCTCTCAGTGTTTTGTGCTCTTAAGCACAGTGGAAGTTGACATTATTACCAGGGAAAAAGTATGACATTAAACAGTTTTACTGCCCTCACGACAAAAGGTGGAAAAGTGCACATTTATGCTTATAGCAGAAACGTCACCAAAAACGCTTTTAAATATGCTTTTGCCTATACAGCCACATCATCAAACTTTTGGTTTGCAAAAACACAGCCATTTTCCTTTTTTCTATAACCCATTCTTCTAGAGTAATTTTTGTTCTTGCCTTTTTCCATTTTCTTTAATTTCCCCACATTTATCCGATTCAAAGTCCCACAAATTCAAGGTTTTAAAGGCTCAGTCTCCATAGTGAGGGAAAATTGTAATAAAAGTAGTCAAACACTAGTATTCACAAAAAAAGAACAATTTACATCCTTCATGTAAAAAACACACAGAAAAAGGTTGTCCTTCTGAAAATGTCTTCAAATGTGCTAGTATTTTTCAATATATTTTTTTATTCAAAAATAGTTTATTAGCCACAAAAAACGTAATTGATATTCAAACTGAGTTGTACCTAGGTCAAAGAGAAATATGAGATAAAGCAAGTTTCATTCATTTACTGTAGTCTTTCTGGCTCTGCATTACCCTATGTGGCTTATCCTTGGCATCCTGGCATGAACATCATCCACATCTCTGTAGCCAACTTAATGGAGGGACAGGTTTCTGATAGGTGTGACATGGGCTCACTTATGCAGTAATATTACCTCTAATGCTGAACATGTACAAGTATATTTCAGGTGAAAATGAGGACGGGGATTGTTAAAATATAGATTGAAGTAAGCTACGGAAGGTGAAAAGAGCCAGAATAGCAGAAGTGCATACCTGTGAGTGGAGATTTTCCAAGAATTAAAGCCCATTCCAAAAGTGTATTCATAATTATTGATTTAACATTGAAATATGGATTAAACATACATCTGCATGTCCTTGGAAATGTGTATCTCATTGGTCCTTATGCACAAGCAGATTTATTCTTGTGGCATGCACAAGTGAATTCCGAGAATTTATTCACCAATTTTCCTGTATTTAAAATTTCAGTTGTAAGTTGTGTACAGATAGTCGCCCTTTCTCCACAGAGGGAAAAACAAAAAATGATGAATTATAATAACTCAATTGCAATTAATTTAGAGTTATTTTTATAAACGAAACTTGGGGGCAATGATTATGCTGATGATCAAATCTCACAAATATGCACCTGGTCATTAACAGAAGGCGTTCATCGAGTTGAAACAAGCGATTTATGACAAGTTTGTGCAGCTGGTGAATCTGACTAGGAGCACTCGTACAATCTTTGCAGGAAAACATATTTAGGATAAGAATACAATAACATTGTGGCATGAGACCCAATCTCCATCATTTTGTTGTCTGGGACTTTCTGTAAAGTGAGACACAATGTTCACATTTCTGAGCTCAGATATTTTCTGCATATGAAATTTGCAAATTGTGTAATTATCACTTCAGCTTGTAACACAATTAGGTAAAAGTCCAGACAAAGTATCGACTGATTCTGGGCCATTTTTCATTGTTTATTAATAAGTGCCACTAATGGTAAAACCCTGTGAACCAGAAGCAGACTGAAGACAACAGTCTGAGATAACCTGTGGAAGTTAATGGAATGGAGCAAACTGCTGGTACATGCATTACATGCTGAGTAATTAGGCAGAAAATTGGTTCAGCCATTTGGAAAATAAGAGTGTCTGCTTGGTGGCTAAAAGAGAGTCCATTAACAGACCTCTGGTTGTAGCGTCACTCTGGAGATTATGAGAAGAGAAGCACAGAGATGTGTGTGTGTGTGTTTGTGTGTGCAGATGTGTTAAGCCACCACCTGGGGGGCCTTACCGGCCTGTGATGAGGAGGAAGAGTGTAAGGATGACCAACAGGGAAAAGCCTCCTACAGACGCAGTGACAACCACCAAAACTTGACCCTGATCAGCGATATCAGGATCTGAGGAAATTGAGAAAGCAAAGTGGAAAAGAGGAAATACCAATCAGTACCTTGTTAATATTAACATCTCTCTGAGTTCAAACCAGAGAATTGACACTACTTTGTGATACTATGCTGTGCAATTTACATAACACAATGAATGGATTAAAAACCATATTCAGTTTCTATGTTGCTAAATTAAAACTTTCTCCACATTCACCACTATTCAAAATGCAACAGAAGGCATCCACTCATATTCTAGTATCTGTATGCTCACTCAGCTTTCCCATCTAAAACATATCTATGAACAATGCAACCACATTTTAATATCTTAAAATATTCTGCACTTTTGCCCGTGAGGAAACAACAGATTATACCATGCATATATATTTTTAAATATATATATTTAAAAGAATGTTTTGACAAAAGCTCCATACAACTCAAATTAGCAACTAATACGAAATTGCTTTGTTCTTTGCCATAAAACTTGACCTGACATGTCAAGTGCTCAACATAATTGATCTCCTTGACTGTGCATTTTTTTCCATAAGTGTATGGGAAATATTACCATTATCTTTAACAGCATGTCTATTTATTTCCAACAAAAACTGAGGGGTACCAGGAAAAAGTGGTGGGAAATATTTCCTGATGTATCCGTGAATGGTCTGACATTTCAGCAACTGAGCCTCTGTACATGTGGAAATGTCATATGACATTTATTTTGTGATCCAAAGTGCCATTTATATGTTTTATTAGGATAAAGAGAAAAACTTTTTTAAGATTGTTAGTTCCAACCTGGTCTAAACAGTCAAGAAACAGGACAATGGTCTAAATCACTGCGTCCTGTGTGGCATGAAGCTTTGTGAGAGTGAGCATTGTATAGACTGAATAAGGTGAGAGAGAAGATAGCACATATGTAGAAGTCTAGAAATTGACTTAAGTCAGATTGGTATATAAGAGTATGAGAATGTGAAGGTGGACATCAGCATATTCATTACTGAAAGTGTGTATCTTGTAGGAGGCTGTTCATTACTGCATATTTTAGGATTAGAATCAGCAGAGCGTTATGTGTGCATCAGGAACTTACAGAGCTTATAAACATTTAAATAAATGGCTCATGCCTGAGAAAACACTGATGAGTTTCACTGATCCATAGCAAATAATGACCATAAAATGTCTCCAGGGATTTTATAGAGTTGTTGTTGATCTCTGGCTTTAAAATTATTTCTTCTCCTGTCCTTTTGTTTAAAAATCAAAAAAAATCAAAAAAAAATCAAACCAATCAACTGAGTGAATATCAGTTCCATTCCTCCCTAAAACACAGCCAATATAAACAAAACACAGGCACAATTCTCTCATGCTCACTCCTCCACAGTCATACCCTCAGCTGCAGTAGCAAACTCAAAGTTGGGGCTGTAGGCTGTGTAGCCAGCAGCAGTGCGAGCGCGGACGTGGAAGACGTAGACAGTCGAGGGCGTGAGGTCTGTTACCACCACACTGGGGGTTTTGGTCCGTGTTGATGAGTAGCTCAGCTGCTCTTGCTCCTAGAAAAGCAGAAACAGATTGCTAGAGATGAGAAAAAGAAGAAAGTTTTGGTAGACAAATGTGTTTACATTTACCCATTATCACAACAACGTTTGAAACAAAACACAGATTTTTTTTTATCTTATTAACTATCAGAGTAGATGGTGAACAAAGTGGAGGTATGTTATGGATGATTCTGCACTTGGGTTTCTGTATGCTAACAATGCATATTGCTCTGTGAGCAGTGATTTTTCTCAGTGTATCATTGGTATTTCAATGCTAAAATAACTGTAACATAACATGCTGATGAAAAATAATGCTGACTTTTTTTAGTTTATAAAAGACTTTACCTTCTCATAGTATTTGACTTCATAGTCCACTATGTCTGAAGGCGGCTGTTCCACTTGTGACCAGGAGAGGGCGATGCTGTTTTGAGAGGCCCAATCTTTCCTGACTACACCCACCAGAGCAGGACCTAAGGATGCAGTGGAGGAGTGCAGGGTTGAGTCAGTTCTAAACTACAAATCTGTGAGGAGGAGGTTTTAAAATTATGGACAAAGTTCAAGTGTTCAAGTTTAAACCACAAAATGTCTTCTCACACTATGTAAAAAGACAGTTTGTAGGTAAATTCATTCACTGGTATCAACTTCCACACATCCACAAGCTCATGATACGGATGAGCTTATCTGACGTAGTGACTCCTCTATAGGGGTTTTTGAAAGTGTGAATATTGACATAAAGTATAAGGATGGGAGAAACATGAGCAAAAGAAATGGCAAGTTTGCAACAGGACTATGCATGTCACCTGTCCGAGAGGCTCAAGGGAATAAAGAAATGAGTGATTCCACTCACTTATTGCCTGAGCCACTGCAGTGAACACTAAAGTGAATACACTGAGTTCAGAGACACGTCTGCAAAACACATTTCAAAAGAGTCTTCAGCCATCACAAGAAAGATATATACTTTGAACAAAAGCTTTCAGAACTCCAAACTGGAAAAAAGAAAGTTTGAAATAGAGCCTGACAAAAAGTCCATGCCTTATATACCTAACTTATATACCTAACATCTCCACTATACTCTGCAGCTTAGAGTAGACAATCTCAAGTAAAACAACTTTTGAGCAATGTAATGACTCTGTGGTGTTGGAAGAGAAATTGTTTCACAGGAATACCCAAAGGGAAACGTGGGCCAAGAAACGACCATTTTACTGTCCAGCTCCTGTATTATGTGCAGCCTGAGAGAAACATTTTTGTTAACCAAACCACTAGACCTACAGTGACTGTTTATCATGTTTGTCATTATTGCTGAATTTCGGGGAATATTTTACACAAGGCTGCTGAGGAGACACAAAATCACCTAGTGGAGATTCAAATATTTACCATCAATTATTCATAAAACCCTTGCTTGAATAGAATATGATTTGGCAAACTAATAGATCCAGTCTCTGTTGTCAAGCGTGCTGTTTGGGGGATCATTGTTGGAATACAAATGCAATCCCAGATTGATGTCTAAAATTGAGTTACCACACGCAGAAGGCCACAGACCGGATGGGGCAGTTGAGAAAGGTGATGTGTCACTGTATTTAGTCAGACTGGGGTTCAGATGCGACATTCACATCCTGTCAAAAAGTTCGCTTGATGATTTCAACTTGCATTAAAGCAAAAAAAGGCCAGAGAGAAAAATGGTGCACACCAGAAACAAGAGATGCTGACTCCTGCAAGAATGCACACTTGAGGTGACAAATATGTAAATTTAAGGTGTGTCCAACAGTTATATTACAATGTACAAACTTTGTTTGAACATGCATTTTTTAGGAAACTAAGACTCAAAGTATGTCCTGTCTGCGACACAGAGTCATGAAAACTTATCATAGCGTTTAAAAAACTGAAGTAGTTAAGGTGTGTCATATCAATTTGTATTTTACACTTACAGGATAATCAAAGGAGACAAAGAACATCATAAGTGTGTCAATCATTTAAATATCTACACACATTCCAAACCTACAGCACCATACATGCACAGGAGCTCAATCGCTAGACTTGATCACACATCTGCCATGTCGGCCATGTTATTCCAGGTAACATGTGTCCTCTTTATCCTGGTGGCAGGTGGTGTCTGAGTTGTACCGAGCGCCTGGAGATGTTCTCCTCTCAGTCTGGCAGCCTGCTGCAGTTATTAATGGCAAACAGCAGACACACCAACAAAAACATATACCATATATTGACAGAAGACTACAGTGCAAGTGGTACACAGGCAAGGCAAGGACAAACTCTACTGAGTTGCTTTGCAAATGTCATCTGTGCCATACCTGAATTAACTTCATTACCACAAAGCACACAGCTCCTTTAAACATATCCTTCAGCAAGGTGCAACATGTCAGGTAGCTGAAATGATTACAGATTTTGTTCTCCATATATTTTATGGTTGTGTCTAAATTAATGTCACTGTTGATTACTTTGCAGATTTTCTCAATTAATCGATACATGTTTGGTCTACAAAATGTCTGACATTGGTGAAAAATGCCAAGCACAAAAGCCAAAGTTGACATCTTCAAATTACTTGTGTTTGTGACAGTCCAAACAACAACTATGTCATAAAACAAAGAAAAAAAACTAAAATATGAAGCTTTTTGAATTACTTAAAAGATTAAAAGATTTCCAAAATGATTGCTGATATTATTTTCTGTCGATAAACTAATCCATTAACCTACTTATAGTTTTAGCTTCCGTGCACAGTATTGAAGGGAAACACCTGCAGTAATACACTGAATAAATGGAAGTGTAAAGTAAAGGCACACACAAAACCTGAGGCGAACACTGACTAACCTGAAGAAGAGCAGCTACAAAAAATACATATCAGTCCAGATAAGAATAGCACAGATGAAATCAGGTCCAAAGTTTGTAGTTTATCACCAAAGACCATTGTACAAGGACCATGAGTATGTTGGCTTATTATCAGTCTTACATGTAAATAAAACTATAAAAGGATTCTGTGCGTGAAATCCTCAAAATAATGCACAAATAGACCCTAAACTATGAATGAATAAGTGACTATATGTGCTAAACATGTATCTAAGCAAGAATGGTGCCCATAAATGTCATGTTCAAGTAATGGTGAAGTTTTTCAGTTGGCCTCAGTGTAACCAGGCAGATAAATATGCGTAACCCACTTAGGGGATAAGAATGTTTGTGAGAATCACATTACTAGAGGGAATTTCTGTCTGCAGCATACAGTATAATGTTATGTATCTACCACCATGCGCATGTGTGTGTGTGTGTGTGTGTGTACATTTTTGCAAACTGAGAAAATTCTCTAAAAACCCTCTAAACTCTTATGCAAGACGCTATTTTAGGTTTAGGATAAATCAATCCACTGGTCAGATACCTACTGTTACGAATGAGTGGCTCAAAGAAAACACTTATGGTCATTGAAGTTTAATCACAATTCACACATCAAAAGATAATGGAGAATCTATAAGCTCTAGTTAAAAATAGGCTAATCCCTCAAATACACATGCTCAAACAGATAAAGAAAGGACAGAGGGGGAAGAAAAGAGAGGGAGAAAGAGTGAACAGGGAGAGCTGCAAAGAAATCCCACGAGGTTGCATCTCCCCAGCATCTGAGCATATAAATAGAAGTCAGCTTTATTCCCAGAGCAAGGGAGATGAAAACAGAAGAGAATCCACTGGAGGAAAGGGGGAAAATAGCAAAGTAAAAGAGAGAAAATCTCCTGAATCAGGACACCACAAAACAGAAGATGTTCACACGTGGATTTAGCATGTGAGAACTTTGCCTGACACTTGCTGTTAATAAGTAATCATGATGACGAAGATACCAGAGCCAATAGCCATATTTGGTTTTACTCAAATTTGTGAGAAAAAAAAAGAAAAATAGACAAGTCAACATGGCCAGAAATTTCCAGTGTGAGGTTGACATGAGGTTCATATGCTGTACATAAAATCTCCGTAGGAGCCTTTTTTGCCCAAACTAACATGTATACTGTACCATACGCACACAACATTTACAGTACAGTATACTACACAAAATACTACACTGAATAAATCATTTCAATATTTTTCTTCAAAGCTGATTCATATGCTAGAAGATGATTTATAAAAAGTGAATGTGAATGAAATTGCTGACTTGCACCGATCAGCCATAATGCAGCCGCATACACAACAAACTGCGATGCTCTGTGTGTTCTGACAGCTTTCTATCAGAACCAGCATTAACTTTTTCAGCAATTTGATTTGAGCATTAACAAAAGCTGACAGAATTCATTGTCCATGTAGATTTTGCTCTTGTGTGACAGGAAATAGCCAACTAGAAGTCTGGGTTCGTAATAAGAAAACCTTACGGAAAGACAAACACTACCAACCAACCCAACATTAATGCCATCAGCGTTATACAGCCGTATAATATGCTCAGAACACAAATTGTAAATTAGGTGCTAAATCCTTAGACAATACCAACAGTGTCAGACACAACGCAAAGAATATATGCCATGGACAGCCAAAGATGTTCAACAAAGGGCCAACAGCATACACTGGCTGAGTGTCAGATTACAGTTATTACAAAAGTAGAATTTATTTTTCTGATCTTAAAGCAGTATTTTCTAGTATGATGAAAACAAGTAAAATCTGTAGTAGTGGAGTAGTAGAGCAGTAGTAATTGGAAAGAACTGAAAAACAATGAGTGCAACTCTGCAGGGATTTAACCATTTAAACCAGCAGCTATTCAATTTCAATTATTTCAGCAAAGGTTCGATACATCATTATATCTCACATTTGGCGAGTGACTTGATTTGATTTGATTGAATTTGATTGATTAAAGTAATTTAGATTCTGCCAGGCTCCACACATATGTGTACGGCCAACAAAAACATGTAAACTTCACAGGTTTAATCTTTAGTCCAAACTTTCAAAGGTTCACTAGCCAACATATTTAGCCTCTGCTACAATCTTTCCTTTTTTTAAATCTTACATAAGAGTTACTTTTAACACAGAGCAGGTCTATCTTTGTGGTTGCTGTGGGTGCGCATTTTTCCTCTTTTTTTCCTCAAATTTGCACTTATTTCTCTGTGCCTCTTTACAGAATACTGCAGTGAACTTTGTGGGAGGAATCTTTGGCAAGAAACGCTCTGCTGAGCAATATTTACAGAGTTCATAAACACAGAGATCATCCTGCTCCCTCTGCTCTGCATTGCTGCCTTGAGAGGCGTTAGGACAACAGCTGACCTTCATAAGCTTTAACAAGCAGGAAACCAGCATCCTGCCTTACAAAGTGAAATTAAGTGTAGAGATGAGTACGCACAACTAGGCATTCAAGATGATCAAATGTGTTTCCTGCAATCCATGACTCAACAGATATTGCTCGCCTCTTACGGCTACAAAACTGACTCCAGTTTATCATATCATCGAAGGCGACGAAGACTCCACTCTGTTCAAAGACAAAGTGATCATGCATCTTGCCTAACAGAGCATTATAACTTATCAAGGTTAGACAAGCACATAGGCAATCGGGAAGAGAGATTATTAGTAGTTCTGATTAACAGGTTTAGCATAATTAAAAGCATAATGAGGCATTAATATGCAAGTTACAAACAGATAGCAAGCCAGCAGAGAATAAATCTTCCCCTTCCATCTCACAAAAAAATCCATTTAATTGCTAATTCTGCTTTTGATTGGTCATTATTCCATCATTGGCATAATATCACAATCAATTATATGAATCACCTTGCAGCATCTGCGTTAATTGGCAATGAGCCTGTCCATCCAAACATAAGTTTAGACAAACACAGATTTACAACAAGCATTTCTCTCAACTGAATGAATGTTCCTCCTCTTCTGAATTTATATTATTTCTTATAAGGGCTTGAATAATGTTTTGCAGACATATGGTACTTTAAAGTAGTTTAAATAGATTTTAGACAGCATCATCGAGAAGCTTCCAGGAAAATGTTCACATGCATGTACTTATTCATTAACATTTTTTTTAAGAATTTAGCACAAGCGCATGATATTGTGAATTACCTGTGGACTCATGTTATCAGTTGAGTCTAATAAACTGCATATTATGAGCCATGGAAAAAGTGCTTTCAAACAGTTGAATGATGTACAGTGTGCAAATCTACAAAAAGCTTCTCTATGCTGTTTTGCCTTTCCCCCCCACATAGAATATGCAGGTTATATAACTGCAAAAAAGAGATCAGGATCATTCTCTATCAAAGCACAGAATAAAAGAGTTATTGTACTCTTTCTAGGATACATATCTATGGACCTGTATATATCTATCTGTATATCTATATATTGTTACTCAATCAAAAGGATATCTCCAGTTTGACTTGTGTGTGTGGGAGAGAGAAACACAAGAGAGAGCACAGGGAAGAGCTTGCAAATGACTAACAGAGCATATGCAAAGCTGTAGGTGGTACAATGAAGCAATGTGTGTGCAATTGTCGTATGTATGAATTTGTTTGTCTGCTTGTTTGCATGCATGTCTGGCTGTGTGTGCATACAGCATGTCTACTGAGGAAAGGCAGTTTGACAAGTTAATCCACTCTAAACATCCTAATGGGAACATACCCACAGGCTGCTTCTCCTCCTCTACAGAGATTATTTTGCATTCCAACTTCCTCCCATCAGCCTAGCTGCCTTTGCCAGAGAGATGGGTATGAAGTGACACATACACACCTGACATCTGGCTTCCATGGTGGTGACAACCTATCAGCAAAACATTTCATTTCTAAAAATAATACTTTAATACAATTTTTTTTACTGTATACTAGGGGAGGATTTGCCATGGGAAATGACTGTTAAAAGTTATTAACTTTTCTTGAATGAGCAGGAGCCTGATTCAAGACAATTATTTTTTCTCACTTACCAACCATGCACTTCATTTTGCCTGAAAAACTGAAAAAACACAACTACACTAAATCCTTACAGAGAACCAATAACTGCAGAGCGGTTGGTGGAACATGATAATAAATGAATACGAAAATGGTAATATTCATGAATTACACTTCAAAGTCTGCCATTCACAAACACAATAGGAGCATTTGCACAGTCTGAACACTTGAAAACAAATGTAAAATTAAATTTTTAGTCCCACCACTGAGTATGGTTCCTTGCTGCCACTTAAACCTTGGACTCCATCATTAGTGCTGCATCATTCTGATCAACCATTTTACTGCTTTTGACACAGCAGCAACTGCTGGATACTACCTTTCACCTTTGTACTTTACACATGGGACACAGTTTTTGAATTAGAATTTGAATCTGGCTCACAGTAATAATCTTTTCTTTCTTTCTGTTGTTATGGGTTGGCCAAATGGCTAGTCCACCACTGTTCCAGACTAAAATAATTCTACAACTACTGGATGGATAGCCATGAAATTTGGTACAGGCATTTGCAGTCCCCAGTAGATTAATCCTACTGACTTTGGAAACTCTCTAACTCCCCTAAATCTGGCATCATGTTTAGGTCAAAATTCTATGTTGTCCAATACTTCTGTTCACTTCTGAATAACTGCAAACTAGTGACATTCACATCATCCTCAGCAGTACTTTGTATTTCGTATTATTTAGCAAATGATTTTGCTAACACGCTACACTAAGATGATGAACATAGTCAACATTATACTTACTAACCAGACCATACGTCTTTCAGAGACTGACATGTATTGCACAGGTAATCCGACAAATAGGCCATCTCCAAGATTACTGTAATTGTAGAATAAACTTTCAGCCAACATAGCATCTTCTTGTCTATAAAACTGAAAAAGTGGACAATATCTTGTAAAATGGTTGTAAATTTATATCATTGTACTTCCCATGCTCCCAATGCTAATACAATTTACGGCAGCCTATTACTACACATAAAGACAATTTAGCACTTCCCAATTCCATATTTTCATATCTGAGACACTGATGACTGATAAGCGTCTGTCTTGTTCTCATCAGAATTTAATCTTAATACTAGCTTGCTGCTCATGCTGAAAGGGGAGAAAATGTGCACATACACCCCACTATAATTTATTAATCCACTCTCTTTACCTTCCTTCTTCTCAACCTTCTCCATCAATTATTCCATCAATATTCTTGCCCTTAAAATATCAGGTTCAGGTTTCAGTAGTTGAACTCAGGTCTCTTATTTTTTCCTAACTCAAGCCCAGGACAATGCTGCATTGAGGACTAGCTGTAGTTAACCCCAGGTCAGCCAAGTTCTACTAATTGGGACTAGGTTCAGGTCACAGTGACTCTGTCAGCTATTCAGGGGTCAGAAATATGCTTCCCCTATTGACACATTGAGGTGGACAGAGAGAAAGGGACTGTGGAAGATGACACAAGGGCTGAGGAGGGATAAAGGTACATCTAGCTGCAGAATAAATAAATTGTAGTGTGAAATATCTTTATCTGCTCCAAAACACAGTATTCATGAGCTATGAATCAGGTATTATGTAACAACGGTATATGCGTATAAGCATGTAAATTTGATCTTCATTAACATTTCACAGCTAAATATGGCTAGTTGGATGTTAACCCTCAACAATCTGTCCAGCAAAAGAGAGCAAATGGAATACATAAACTGCAGATGCCCTGTCAACAACAACAACAACTGCAGTCACTGGTGGCCCTCGGCCACTATGCACCAAAGTTATAGTTTAATTTATTAAATACAATACAGTAATATTACCAAACTAATCCCTCATGACCAGTCCACAGGTAATCCAACCACTGCAAAAAAGGTAAATTGAGGATGTGGGATGCAGGGTCAGGTCACTAAAGGAATGTAGACTATTTGTTCACATTTTGTTTCAATTTGGTATTTTTGGTGAACACCTTGTTAATGCTCATGTGAATGAGATAGTTAGTGGCAGCAGGCACTTTTGAAGAGCGGCAAGATGAACTTATGAACAAGTAAAACCTCCTGGTAGTTTTTGCAACCTGCTAGTTTTTGTAAGTTTGTAAACTTAGCCCCCTGCCATCCCACAGGCTGAATGGTCCACAGGGAAAATTCTCACCATTCCAGATGGCCATTTTGCCTATGCCAGCAGGATTAAAATGATGAATGTGTTGCAATATTTTGTAGCTTACCATGTGCTATTCCAAACCTGAAAAATGGTTTAAAATTTATATATGTAATTATGAAATTCATGACTGTAACAACTTTTCCTTATTAATGTTTCTATTTTTTAACTTAATCAAAAAATGGTGCTCAAAATAGGACCCTGGAGCCCAATGTGAAGTCTCTAAATTGCCTTTTTTGTCCAACCAACAGTTCAAAATCCAAAGTTCTTCATAGAAAATCCGCAAATGCTCAGATTTGAGAAGCTATAATTGGCTTTTTATTAGTTTTGCTTAATAAATGACTCAAATAAATAATCAATCATCTAAATTGTTTGCAGTTAATTGTCTGTTGATCAAATAATCAATTAATCCAATATCTATTTAAGCACTCACTTCTTATGAATGTCAAGAAACCATATCAATATAGGTCAGTCCTACATTTGTGTAGGAGGTAAGAACTCTGCGACTCACCGGCTTGGTGTGTATTGACGGTAACATTCGCCAGCGAGCGTGCAGTCACACCCAGCCCAGAGACGCCATTCATGGCCTCTACATGGAAGGTGTAATTGGCGTGCATTGCAAAGTCTAGTATTGCCACGGAGGTACCAGTCAGACCAAGTGGTCGTGGGATGAACCGCAGGTCAGGCTCACATGGCTCACACTGTGTCACGCCACTCTCGCCGTCACTTCCATCACAGCGTTGGCACAGGATGTTGTAAGTAATGTCCTTCCTGCCTCCTGTATCGCTAGGAGGCATCCACTGCAGGAAGAGAGCTGTGTCATTTATCAATGAGACCAGGTTCCTGGGAGCTGACGGAGGCCCTGAAGAAAAACATTTAGAGAGAGATTATTCACTGATAACTCACTGATCACTTTGTCAGGTATTGTTAAACAAATATCTTACAAATATAGCATAACACATATAGAGGGGTTTAGTTATTGTCTATTGAATACATATGTGGACAAACCACATGATCTATGATCACTGGTGCCATTTCAGACACTGTAGACCAGTTGGGAGAGTCACTAACAGTGTCTAGTTTAACAAAACCCTGAAATGTGCAGAAATAACTTGGAGCATACTTTCTTCTTTCTTGGCTAGAACACAGGTTTTCCCCCAATTTTCACAACTGCACATCTAATTTGGCAAGTGATCATAAGTTGAGAGTGTGTCTTTGAATATCTGCGTACAGGCGTGTGGGTGGTAAGCTTTTGGAGTGCCCTAACTGTTTTTTTCCAGCATGTTGTCGATTACATTAAATACAACCAGAATTTCTCATATCCATGCATAAGGTACATCATAACAGATGTTTTTTTCATAGTTAAGAGGAACAGACATATGAGGTTATGGAGGCATAAAGTTATGGAGACATTTAAATTTAGCTCAATCATACTGCTAAAATGAAAACGAGCAGATGGATGGTGGAAACACACTAAAATTACAGAGAAGAATTTGTCAGCTCTCAGACAAAGTTTGTTTTTTGTAACTACTCTACTAACTTGTACAAGCCATGGCAGAGGAGTCTTTAATAGCCCTGTAGAAGCCTTTGTCGCAGTGACAGATGGTGGCAGCCTGGTCATGGCTGGAGCTATGTGTAGGACACTTGGAGCATTTAGTGTTCCCTGCATACGCCTTGAAGAAGCCAGGCTTACAAGCTAGAAAAAAAAAGAGAGATAGAGGAGGAAGAAGCCAGTTACACAAAGTTAACGTTCCTCATGCGATTGCATTTCTATCAGCAGACATACATTTAATTCAAAGCCCCAGCTGCTTCTTCCCTCACCTGTGGTCTGACCTTATTTCTTGAGGTACTATGGATCACTTTCACTTCCTTCTTACCTCAATAAGCCACATGCTTATGGTCCTGTCCATTGTCCAGTCTAACAAATGGCACACACCTGTAATACCCCTTCACTGAATAAAGACTTTCAAACTCACACAACCCACACATATTTGTAATAAATTCATTTCAAATGTGTTCATCAAAATATGTTCATAGCCCATAAAAGGTAGTTTGCAGGTAATCTTAAAAAAAACTCAGGGTCAACAATAGATCCAGAGAGTGTTGGAAAAGTTACTTGAAAAATGAGTTTGGTAAACGAACATTCTTCACTAATCACTCACTGAGTCCAATAATCTGTTTCTAAAAACAGCATATTGAGGGTAATATAAGTAGTAATATAAAATCACTAATACAGCTTCAATGAAATGCTACAATGTACAGAATATGTGTTATCAGAAAAGGTACATACGTTTAAGGCTTTGAAACAAACGTTTTCAGAAGAGTCAGAAGGTAAATTGAGGGGGGCAAGGATTAAGATATGGAGAAGACTTTGGAGCCCATTTGTTTTAAACAGCAGATTTAAGAGTCCCCACCTTCAGATTCCCTTGAATACAGACATAGGAAAGTTTGTATTGTTTGTCAGGCAGGTTAAAAATAGAGCTATTAACATACATATAAAGCATTATGAAAATGAATTATAGCCTGCTTTCAGTCTTAAACCTCAGTCCACTTACATGGTCCTTTCTACTGACCTAAGTATTCTTCAGTTTTTCATCCTTACCCCGGGTCACTTTCCTACCTCATTACTTCCTCCAGTTCACCCGTTTTACCTTCCCATTTCTTTTTTCTCCATCAATTCAACCTACTCTCCTTTCCTTATCGCTCCAATTTTTCTCCAACTGTTTTGCTCTGCCCCAATTTTCACCTTTTCCTGATTTTTTTCATCTTCCTTCCAATATTTTTTTTACTTTTTCCATCTCTCCTCCTGCTTTCCCCTCCTTCGCTCTTTCCCTTAAGGCTTATCAGAAGATGGCAAAACCATTGCAGATTGCCTCCTTCTCCCCAGACTTATCTCAGCAGAGAAAAGTAAAGCACTAATAGTGTAATTATATAATACTCTGTGAATTATTGCAGAGTGATTTGCATGATAATATATGTACGGGGGTGGGGTAATAATTTCAAAATCATCAAATAAATATGCCAGCTATATGACAGACATTGCAATGATAGAGAAAAAAGGTAGCACATTGGCAAATTCAATCAAGATTTCATAGCAGACTCCCAGAAGGATTTTATAATTTAAACATTTACATTTTTTCCCTCAGTTACAGAAAGGCAGAAGCAAAAAGCCACGTTCACTTCTTTTCTTCCTCACACAGCATCAGTAACACACCATATTACATAAGTCTGTTATTGTCTGATGCATTATTGCCTCCATTGAGAAACATTACCACTATAATCCTTCTGTTGATATTAGCCCTTTTTATTATACAGCGATATGTTTCATACCATGTTACATGAATTACGTCCATCTGCTACCCAGTATCAGTACCGTACCCCAGACTCCTTGTAAAGGATTATTGTTACCGAGTGGATTATTCTGGTGAAAAGAAGCAAACTGAATGAAATTGCTACATATATTTCAGTAAATTCAATAGGTAGATAAACGAAATCCTTCAGATTGTAATGGGGACCAACTGATGTAGTATCTCCAGTCTCTACATATGTCAGCTTAGGGGACCCGTGGGAGAGTAGCCTACTGGTTGAATGAGGATTAGACTTCCAACCTCAGGGTAGATGGTTATTACTTAAATCTACCCGAGGTTAGAAACTTGTTTAAGTATTTATAGTCATAGCATCAACAATTCAGTTGTTTATTCAACTAATAATAATAATAATTCATTAATTAATTGTGTAGAGACCTGCAGAAGTTCCGTCTGTAAAACTAATTGGACTGTTTTAAATGCATCTCCCCCTGTTACCCTCGCACAGAGAATAATGATGAATACCATTTATAAACACAATATAAGAAAGTGGAATGAAACTCATATCTTGTCAGTACTGTAAGCTTTACCATGGACATGGAAAATAATCATTTCTCGTCCATACATTGTATATCAAGACATCAGTTTCACCCCCATGACTAAGAATGAGGAGATTGTCCTGGTTTATTTTCTCCATAGACAACATTGGGAGACTGACAGTTGGGTGGGCCTGAAATCAGACGTGACTAATCAATTAGTTAGCATTAGAAAAATAATCTGAAACAATGTTCATAATTGAACAATTGTTCTAGTATTTTTTTAAGCTGTATAAAAAAAAACTCTCCACACACCTGAATGCATGAAAGGGTGCGTTGGAGGAAGGTGCAACTTAATGAAGCATAAATGAAAATAATAAAATAGCAGTGAGCAAGTGAGACCTTTTTCAGATAGATTTCAGAGAGATTTTGTTATTTTTTTGTTATAAAATGTCAGAGAAACACTCAAAAACTCACAGAGATTCAATTTGCTATAAGCTCACACACAAGGAATGGCAGCAAACTCACACATTTGACAATATGAAAGCAAATTTGGGGCATTTTTACCTGACAAGTGACTCAAACAATTAATTGATTATCAAAATAGTCGTAGATTAGTTTTATGACTTCACTGACTAATTGTTAACCCATTCAAATTTCACTGTATGTCTTTAAATAGCAATGGCCAGTTGTTTGAATGAGAAGAAAGAGAAAGAGAATTCTTAATTAGACGTGACATGCAAGGTAGAGTTAAAATGAAGATGGAATTTTTCAAGAAGGAAAAAGATACAAGGAAAAAACAATCTGCATAAACAGGTGGACATAATTGAGTATAAAGATATGTAAAAGGGATGTGATAAAAGATTGACACACAAACAGAGATCCTTGCCAAAACCATGTTGCTGCTTAGCTCCTCATGAGAAGAGTAATTTGTCACCCAGTTTCCAATTTTTTGAGGTCCCTCATTCACTTGGATATTACTTCCCTCCTATGTTGAGCTCTTGCCAAAGGCAACAAACACACAGATTCATTTGAATTTCCAGCTGCTCCCTGCTCTCTGATATACGCTGGGAAGATCGCCACCAAAAAGCAATTACAATACTTATACCACTGTTTCTATCAAAAAGTTTGAAAACAACCCACACATGTACACACAGACTCATGATGAGATACAATTTTTTCACTATCAGTGTTTGGGTATTTGTCAATCTAACACATTCTTATTCATGAAAGGCACACTCCCTGTACTGCTGTACACACAAAACACACAACAATAATGCAGACACGTGTTTCACCAGTTAATACCTTTAGTGCTGAAAGTAAGGATTATTTTTTGATTAGTTGATCATCATTCATCATCGTCATTTGATCCAAGATAGAAAGATAGAAGAAAATAGTGAACAATGTCGGTTATAATTTTTCCTCAGCACAAAGGATGTCCTTTTTTTGTGTCCAGCATCCAAAACTCAAGATTCAATATATGAGTCTTTATGATATATGGTATGTAGCTTCTATTTGACTCTCAAAATCTAATCTCATCAGTAAGAGTGCCACTTGGGGCTGTAAAACGGTAAACACTAGATTGTGTTAGCAAACAGTTACTACTATTTACTACCTACTGAACGCATTGAGCAATAATTAAAACAGTAAAATTGCAGGCTGAAAACTAAAACAATGAGCTGAAAGATGCTTTGAAGGACCAGTGTGTAGGA